CATCATGATTAAGGCCGAGAGGCTGGATGGTCGCATGTAACGACCACCCCTTTGAGGGTGGACATGTGCTCGAAGACAAAAAATCCATCATGATTAAGGCTGAGACGTTGGATGGTCGTATGTAACGACCACCCTTTGAGGGTGGACATGTGCTCGAAGACAAAAAATCCATCATGATTAAGGCCGAGAGGCTGGATGGTCGCATGTAACGACCACCCCTTTGAGGGTGGACATGTGCTCGAAGACAAAAAATTCATCATGATTAAGGCCGAGAGGCTGGATGGTCGCATGTAACGACCATCCCTTTGAGGGTGGACATGTGCTCGAAGACAAAAAATCCATCATGATTAAGGCCGAGAGGCTAGATGGTTGCATGTAACGACCACCCCTTTGAGGGTGGACATGTGCTCGAAGACAAAAAATTCATCATGATTAAGGCCGAGAGGCTGGATGGTCGCATGTAACGACCACCCCTTTGAGGATGGACATGTGTCAGGAGGCGTTTACAGTCGTTAGGAGTCATTAATTCATCAGGCCTAGTTAGGTGGATGAACGGCGTGACTTAAAAAATCGGTGACAACAACATCGACACATAGCTATAGTGCAGGCTTGATAATGAAAACATCATACACAACGATACATCGACAGATAAATAATCAAGAAAAAACAAGAAATAACGAGAATTCGAAAACTTCAACAAGAATGATATTCATTTAGCGCAAAAGGAGTACAAAGTTCAGTATTCGAAAACTTCAACAAGAATGATATTCATTTAGTGCAAGAGGAGTACAAAGTTCAGTACAAAGGTCAACAAAAATTAAAACTACAATTTCATGAGGCAGCATTATTTGGATCAGCACTAGCATCGGGGTCATCGGGGGTCTGTTCTAGCGGCGGCTCGAGCTGCGGCCCCACTGGCTCAACCGGCTGACTCGAGCTAGAAATCGACCCAATCCCACCGGAAGATGGGTTTTGGCGAGCGAGAGGGGGAACATATCCATCAGGAAGCTTGAAGGTACGCCTCAGCAGGTCGTCTTGGTTTACGACAAGCTCGAGAAGGCCTGACCACCAGTCGTGGTCGTCGGGCAGGTCGAGGGCACTCTGATAGCCGACTGGAGCCTTGGGCATAGCATCCCAAATGGTTTCCATGTTGAACTCCTCGAACGCGTCCTTGGCTACTTGGACCCCCGCCTGTTGCATTATGCCCCAAAGCAGTGGGTACCATAATCCTGCACGTCCTTTAGATACTGTGGCGACTGTTTGAAAGCAGCCACCACTTGTTCGCGGTGAACCGTTGACCGGCGGTTGTGTGGAAGACCATCCTCCGAGCCCGAAGGGCAGCCTCGTCGATCAAAAGCTTAGCCCTCTGCTCGAAAGCAACATTTTCCCGTTCCCGAGCCGACGTCTCCTCCTCAAGGGCAGCCTCAAGAGCCTTTTACGAAGCCAGGAGGGCCTCTTTCTCCGCTCGCTCGGCTACGAGGGCCTCCTCGAAGGATTTCAAGGCCCCCTCGAGCGTCTCCTTCTCATCTGAGAGGGCCTTATTACGGGCGGCCGACTCCTTCAGCCTTACATGAAGAGCATTGGCCTGGACAACCGTCTCATCCAACCGAGTGCCGAGCTGGAGATTGCTTCGCTCGATAGCTGAGATGGAATGACTCGGGCTAGCTAACGTTTGCTCGATCAGCGGCGCAAGCTCGACCATTCCCTACAAGGGCACATAAAAGAAAGTGTTAGGGCACTAACGAGGGGAGGAAGTAGAACAAAATGGATAAACATAAAATTATAGTAGGTTACCCGAGCCAGCCAGCGGGCAATCCGATTGCCTCGATCTCGAAGAGTATGACCGTCATTATAGCGGTCAGTAGGGCGGTCGACGGAGGGAAGAATATCCCTGAGGTAATGCGAGAACCCCGAACTGTTGAGCACAGTAATCGAGAGGACGGTCTCCTCGACACGGCGGCGCTTGCTAACACTTTCATCCCCCTCAGCAAGGGACCGCTTAAGTTGATCCTCCTCGAGCAGAGCTTTCTCGGGAGAGGCGGGAATATGAATGATAGAGGTGGTCTGGTCGTGCAGAGGTGAGCGCGACAGAGGAGATGCCGTTTTCTCGAGCTGCTCCGGCTGCTCGGGCTGCTCGGATTGCTGGCCCGCTTGAGGGTTGCTCGCAGAAGGTTGCTCGACGATCACTTTTGGGGGTGGTGAAGTCGAGCGGGCGGACTGGGAGGCAGTCGAGTAAGCGGGTTTCGAGCTCGACCCCTCACCGGGTTGCTTCCTTTTCAAGGGAGCACTCCTCTTGGGCACAGAGATAGTAGGCATCTCTGCCAGAAACCACGAACAAGTTAGAGCCACAACAGGTAAATCATATATTAAATAACGGCATGATAATGCCCAGGCACGCTCAATAAAAATACACCTAGATCGTCTGTAATTCGAATGAGATCGAAAATTTTTTGAGAGGGAGGAGGAAACGACTTATGAGTAAGAAGGCCGCAGAAATGCAGGAGGTTGTCATCCTCGAGCAGAATTTTCGACGCAACGGGCTTAGTGTTCCACACAGCGATCCGTTGGTCGAAAAGGGCATTCTGAGAAGGTGCCACATAATCGCTTTTGAGCTTCTTGAGCCACGGAGTTGGTGCCACATAATCGCTTTTGAGCTCCTTGAGCCACGGAGTTGGCTCTCAAGGGAAAGCAGGGTCGGGTTCGACAAAGGCGAACTTATCTTTCCACCTAGGGACATTTGAAGCGGTGTCTGAGATGAAGTGGACGTCGGCACGGCTTTTGAGGTAAAGCCCTTGAGTGTGTTTCGAGAGGGCATAGCAATAGTGAAACAAGTCAAGGTCGAGCCGACCCTGGCGGACATGAAAAAGGATGATGAAGATGGTAATGAACCGAATAGCATTAGGAGGAAGCTGGTTCAAAGGCAGTCCGAACCACTGGCAGATGTTGAGCAAATCTTGGCATAGAGGAAAGCGGATACCATGTTTAAACTGAATCTCGAAAAAAGTATAGCAACCCTTGGGGGGACAGTCATATGTATCATTGGGACCAGGGGACACGTAAGCCCATTTCGCCGGGTGACCAACCTCATTAGTGTCCAACTAACCGGCGACGAGAGGACGAGAGGGGGTTTGATTAGAGGAGGAAGCCTTGACTAGCCTTCTCTTCTTGGCTGGCTTGGGAGGCGCAGTAATAGGACTGGAGCGGGTTTGCAAAGCAGGAGTGCTTGAAGGTTTCAAAGCAGATGGGGAAGGAACATTCCGCTTCGGGTTACTCGAGGAGACAACTTTGGAAAAAACGGAGTGCCGAGAGAGGGGGATATCATCTTCGTCCCTCTCCTTGGCTGCCTCAGCAGCGTCGAGAGCTGCTTCAGCGACATCAGAAGTCCTAAACGCCGGACGACGGCGGTTGAGGGGGATATAGTCGAGGGCATCCTCGCCTGATTCATCAATCAAACGAGTAGGTTGGCGAGGAGGAGAAGATGTGGCACAACCGGTAGGGGGTAAAATGCTGATAGGAGTGGGATTGTAGATTTCCTCGACAGAGCGGGAAGGCGAGTGAGGGATAGGCCGATGAGTGGGGAATGATGACGCGGCGGTCTCATCTTCACCAGAGTGATGGCTTGGTGCATTAGAATCAGCGGAATCTGAAAAGTAGAACGAAAAATTGAGAGGAAGAGGAAAGGAGTTAGGGTTTTTGAAAGCAAATAAGGAGGTTTTTGCCACAGGCGAGACGATAGGGATTTTGGGAAAAGAAGAAGCAACAGGGAAAATTGAAAGATTGACAAAATAAATGCACGCAAATACAAAGTTTAAGCACAAGAGACTTACTCATGGTTGCAGCGAAGAGCGGTTACCGGAGAATACTTGCAGAAGAAGCGCCGAGAGCAGGAAAGCACAGTTGGTGGAGGAAGAAATTAGGGCACGAAGAAATTTGAGATTTGCAAAGTGAGAAAAATTGGAAAATTTGCTAAGTACCGTATTTATAAGAGGACAGAGGAATAAGGTGAAAAGTTATTGGAGATAGCTGTTAGATAAAAGGGGATCCAACGGTGATAAGAAATGAAGGAGGCACAGATAGCGAAGCAGCGCAAATCGCGATGAGGCACGATGATTAAAAGTGCAAAGCTGAAAGGACATGTGGCAGGCGGAAATTACACTGATAATAAAAGGAAATAAAAGGCAGTTATAATGCACCGCAAAATCAATCACGTGGTCGAAGAATGATGGTGGCATAAACCGAAGCGATCGAGAGGTTGGCAGAGTGGAGAAGACAACTCGAATTCACTCTTAGATCGAGTCATTTAGACTCGACCAGAGTGGGGGGGACTAGATGATATGAGATATAATATAACTAAAGAATAGACCGGTCTACCATATCGGTCGGGCAAGCTCGAAGTAGAAAAAACCGCATTGGTCGACGGATGATCGACCAAAAGGGAAGAGATCGAGCAAAATAGCAGAACTGGTCGAGGATCGACCTAGCGATGGGGGGCTCGATCAGATCGAGCACCCAACAGGTGAAGAACAGTCGAGAGCGTGGCTTGAACGCGAGCGTGGGTGGCGTTAGAAGATCCTAACGGCAAGCGCTGAAGAATAATCTCCCTCCACTCAGAGGGACACGTGGCGAGAGTGCATTGGTGAAGAGCAATAGTGGCGATAACCACCTCTGACATCTCTGACACACGCACACTGTGTGTGTACGGACGGACAACGCGGGTAGGACAGCTCACCAAAATCTGGGCAGCTCCTAGGGCAGGTATCTCACTCCTATATATATAGGAGTGAGTCTTTTCTTGTGAAACTTACGATTTATCCATTCTTTACTTTGGAAAATTGAACAAACATATACTGACTTAAGCATCGGAAGCTCTTCACCGGAAAACCCCTCCGGTGTGAGAGTTCTGTGCAGGTGCGCGGCGTTCTACCGGCGAGGAAGAGGAAGGCGAACCGATTTCAAGCCGGTCGGAGTGTTTTGCGTTACCAATATCGATAATGGATTTGAGTTAAAATTGAAAATGAATCGGTGAATTGAGTTTTTACATATACAAATTACAAACACAAATTGCATTTTGAGCACGTGATAACTTAAGACAGCGAGGTCGAAAATAAAAACAAAAATAATTTTAATTTTTCATCATAGAGTCAGATATTAGAGTTTGGGAAGAAACTCACACAGCTGCAACAACAATCCTCAGCTGCTCAATACCGTCATAATTACTGTGAAAAGGCCAATCTTCAGTGTACATCTTATTGTTATGGAATTACAATTGCGTCCGCTTCCAAATTACTGCCTCCCGAAGTTCACCTCCGCGAAGTATCTCAGGTGCCGGAAAAACAAGTTCGGTGTTGGGATTCCGAATAAATCCTCAGCAAATACCGGGAAAATGCCGAGATCTTCTGTGATACTAAACGATGCGAGCGAAAGTGGTGATTTGGAGACCACGGTGGTGGTCGAGAAGCCTCTTGTTAAGCCTCGCCGTTTTGAGATCCTCTCTGGCCTTCCGGCGCCCTTTGGCGCCACCGCGAGGGACGGCGGTGTCAATTTCGCGGTTTTTTCGAGCAATGCCTCGTCGGCAACCCTCTGCCTCATAAGCCTTTCCGACTTGCCTGAGGTAGAATGATAATTCTACCATTGCTGGTTAGCGTCGAAAGTTTTTTTCAGCTTTCTGTTGTTTCATAGTATGGATATGCTTTCATGGCCGCTTTAGTTAGTATGATTATTGAAGGTGGAACGCACTCAGGGTTTCTGTACTGTGAATTTTTTTTCTTCAGAAAAGAGTGACTGAGCAGATTGCTCTAAATCCGCTGACTAATAAAACAGGAGACGTCTGGCATATATTTCTGAAGGGAAATTTTGAGGACATGGTCTACGGCTTCAAGTTCGGTGGGATCTTTTCCCCTGAGGATGGGTTGTATTTTGACTCCTCTAAAGTGTTGATTGATCCTTATGCAAAGGTCAGCAGGTCATTTTCTATATACCATCGAGGTGGAAGGACCGTTTTGCATTATCTTTCTAATTTATGGTTGTATAGCATATTGTGACTCGCGGTTACAGTGCAGGCTGTTGTCAGCCGAGGGGAATATGGTGCTTTAGGACCTGATGAAGACTGTTGGCCGCAGATGGCGTGTATAGTGCCTTCTACTAATGACGAGGTACTTGATGAATAAAATTGATGGGTTCACAATATGCAGTCCATTCTCATCTGGGATGAAAGAGAAAAATGAGTGGTGTTCCTGGACAAGTAAAAACTATATGTCTCTTGCGAAAACATAGAGTTGTATTTTGGAGCGCAATACGAGCTTGAAAACAGACCAAAGTTCACTTCTATATTGCATTAACCTCTAACTAACCCTGTAAGCAGGACTAAATTTAATATCAAGTACATGTGAAACTTTAGTACCTTAGCTTTAGTAAACTTTTTATGTTAGTTTCACATGTTAAATGCATCAGTTCCTTTTCTAATGTCCTTCCTCTTTGATTAACTAAATCTGGTTCTTGTGACCCCCCTTTACTCAATTGTAACCCTTCTAATCAATGTAAGTCAGTAACCTTATATTTAGTTTCCCAATAGATGCTTAAATGAATTTGGCCTCATTTCCCGAGAGATGCTTGGGCTTCACATTTTCTCACTCTGTTGCTCTTCGCTCTTTCAGTTTGACTGGGAGGGAGATTTGCCCTTAAGGTTCCCACAAAGAGATCTGGTTATTTATGAAATGCATGTCCGTGGATTTACTAAGCATGTGTCAAGTAATGCGAAGTTCCCTGGCACTTACCTTGGGGTGGTAGAAAAACTTGATTACTTAAAGGTACACATTCAGCATTTTAGTTAAATATTATTAAACAAATGCTTTTGATGGTTCATAATAGATTTTTTGTGGTAGTGATCTTTGTAGTAGTATAAACACTAAACAGACCATCTGAAGTATAATACTATAAGCACACTTTATTTTATCTATCCTGAATGCTCTGCAAGACTGCAACCAATACCGTTGTGCTATTATTGTGTATAAGTGTGTGTTGGACACCATCTCCCTTTGAGCTAGCTTTTTGGGATGAGTTCTACCCAGACCCATTTGTCATGATATTAGAGCACCCAGGTTTGTGTGTTTGGTGGCAACGTTGGGTTTTGGACCTGGCCCAACTATGCGTGAAAGCAAGTGTTAAAAATTATGTTTGTCCCATATTGATTAGTTACTGGATTGTTATTGTGTATAAGTGTGGGTCAGACACCCTCTTCCTTTAAGATGCCTTTTGGGGATAAGTTCTATACAGATCCATTAATCACCAACGAACTTCATGTGGTCAAGCCACAACTTTAGTGTAAAAGTTATCCTTTTCCAATTAATGGTATTGGTTGCAAGCACATGAAACTTAATTTGTTCTTGTCCTGCCCGACAAACTTCAAATATAGTCAAAACAACTATCATATCCCAAATTTTCTATGATGAGCATTATTCGCCTTTCATGTGATTTTGCCATATTGTTTTGCAGAATCTTGGTGTCAATTGCATTGAACTTATGCCATGTCATGAATTCAATGAATTGGAGTACTACAGCTATAACTCTGTCTTGGGTGACTACAAGTACTTCGAACTTGCTCCTTTTTATTTGGAATTTTTGTTGTGAACTTTTCAATACCTTGGATTTGTTAACTTGAAAATGCCATGGTTATTTCTTTGAATCCATTGTTGAATGAATTCCTCGAAGGTATTTCTGACAATCAGTATTGTGGTGCTCCTATGAAGTGATTTCTGATGGGCTGATTTCCTATGACCTTTTTGTTACACTTTTGAATTTGACATATGAGTTTCTATTGCAAATCGTGGATGTGGGAGCTTGTCAACTGCGTGTATAGTTTCTTACCACAATTTATGGTAACTGATTAGCTCTTCCAGAAGCAGCATTAATGAATAATTAGCAGCTGATGTTTTTCCTCTTTGACTAGTCAGGAGTATGATAATTTTTAACATTTATACACCATCACTGTCATTTAAACAGTTATCCTGGTGCTGGGGAATTGACGGTAATAATATTTGAAACTATTGATAATTTGATTATATGGATAGGAAACTCGGACAATGTGTTCATATAGCCGCACAAAGTCTGAGAAATTTATAACACTAACATTCAATGACTCAGTGTTTGGTGTTATAACCAGAACCAGCATTCATAAATTCCTTTTATCATTTTTAACTAAGTGAATCCTAAACATGTTATGATTATAACTTGTTATGTTTTATGTATCAAATATTTTTCATTCAGCAAAAGCATTTTCACTAGAAGTCTAGAACATGATGTTATTGCCGCCTTACCTTGACATTTCTTCATATCTGAAGTCTGATCTTTCTTCCTGGTGGAGTGAAATGTTGATCCAAGTAACTGTTTGTGGAATATAATTGATGGTCTTATGTATCTAGGAATTATTGGTGGAATGATTCCAGAAAAGTGTTCATTCACTTGTATAACATTGTCGCATATTCAGGATGAACTTTTGGGGGTACTCAACGATTAATTTCTTTTCACCAATGGCAAGATATTCTTCTGCTGGTACTGCTAATTATGGCATTGGTGCAGTACATGAATTTAAATATCTTGTTAGAGAAGCGCACAAACGAGGAATTGAGGTAAAAGCTCCTTAATCATGTCTGAGTAGAATTTTAGTGGAATTTATGTTTAGTTCTCCAACTGTTTCCAATGTAACAGGTTATTATGGATGTTGTTTTCAACCACACGGCTGAAGGGAATGAAAATGGCCCTTTAGTATCATTTAGGGGTCTTGATAATAGTGTCTTCTATATGCTTGCTCCTAAGGTACGCCCTATTTATTTTTTGTTGTTCATAAGTTTACCCTGAAACATTAGTGAATTTAATTTTTAGCATCATTTCTTTTTAAATGAATTATGTAGAAGTTATGGTTTTTCCCACATTGGTTAGTTGCTGAGCTGTTATTGTGTATAAGTGTGGATTGATTGGGCACCCTCTCCATTTGAGCTATCTTTTGGGGATGATTTCTACCCAAGCCCATTTATCATGGTATCAAAGCACCCAGGTCTGTTTGTTTGTTTGGGGCGGATGTTGGATTTGGACCCCAACCCATTTGGTTTGGCACGCTGTGCGTGAGGGCAGGTGTTAGAAGTTATGTTTGTCCTACATCAATTTAGTTATTAGGCTATTGTTTTGTATAAGTGTGAATTGGGCACCCTTTCCTTTGAGGTAGCTTTTGCGGATGAGTCTACCCAAGCCCATTTATCACGTTAAAATCCTTTTACCTGGAAAAGTTTTGAAAATTGTTGACATCTGTCTTTGTGCGGCTGAACATGCAATTCATTAAGGTGGAAGTATTTATTTTGGTGCCTGTGTTGTTAAAAGATTGACAGAGCATGAGTTTTATAGTTTATCATTCAATAACAAAAGAATAGTTCCCTAATGAAATGGATTTCACTGGTGTAAAGTTCCATACAGAATTTCTATATTTGACCTCATGTCCTTCTCATTTCAAGAGTTTATGGAAGTTTGTGACATATAGTCTATCTCGCATTGGTATATTCTTGTGGAAGAGTAATATTAAAGAGTAAAGTGGCTTATGAGAACTAGGTTAGTATTCCATAATATAATTTTATTGATTTTTTATCCTTAAGTGTTAAATACAAATATGACTGAAGATTGTCATCAGTTGTGTGATTAACCTTTCATTGCGCTTTTAGCATTTTCTGTGTAAAAATATCATTGCATAATGTAATATTGATTTAAACAAATTTCTCTGCAGTTCTTGTCTTTGTATGGGATATTGGTCCAGTTGATTTAGTATACCATTGCCATGTTCCATCTAAAAACTTTTTCCAACTTGGAAGATGAACAGTTATTATAAGACTGCTAGCATGTTCTGAAGGATAATCTTTATTTGATAGGGTGAGTACTACAATTACTCAGGTTGTGGGAACACCTTCAACTGCAATCATCCCGTTGTACGGCAATTTATTGTGGACTGCCTGAGGTAAAACCACATTAGAGTTGATCTTTATCATAGACTTAATATTAAATATCTATTCTCTTATGTCTAGGCTTTTGGATTAGGAGATTCCTCGTATCATCTTTCTCATATTGTTGATTTTAAAGAAGAATAAGTATACTTCCTGGTTCATTATTTTAATAGCTCTTTAGATTTTAAATTGATAACTTGATCTTTCTAATCTTTTATTTAGGGGAGGATATTTTTGCAGTTATGCATTGCATCTTGATCTTTGAATATTTCTTTTGTTTCATTCCCTATCACAATTTAAAACATGCCTCTTACTTTCCTTTTCAAGTTCTCCATATAGGTTCATCATATATTCACAGAATTTTGACATTTATTTATTTGGCTTAGTCCTTGATTTTGACAGATACTGGGTGATAGATATGCATGTTGATGGCTTCCGCTTTGATCTTGCTTCCATCTTAACTAGGAGTAGCAGGTTAGTGCTGTCATATGCTTGACATGATTTCTTTTTGTTTAGCTGATAATTTCAATTTTGTTAAATTTTTGTGCTTTACTTACATTTTACCTATGGCTTTGCCATTTCCAGTCTCTGGGATGCTGTAAATACACATGGAGGTTCAGTTGAAGGTGAGACAGTCACGACTGGAACCCCTCTCTTTAGTCCTCCATTGATTGACATGATCAGCAACGACCCCATACTTAGTGGTGTAAAGGTATCTAGCTACTCTTATGATTATTTATTATTTCAAAATTTCCTCTCTTCACCAACAAAAGAAATAGGTCTGAATTTTGAGCCACCAAGAATAAAGATATCTATGACACAATGCATATTTCGAAATTAATGCGACGTCCTTCCCGAAGAGAGGATTTAGTCGTCCATTTAAGATTTTTAGTTTTATTTATTACCTTATTGTGCCTTGGTACGATGCCAAAATGTTTTTGTTGCTTTCAGGTTTTGGTTTAACCTTATTTTGAACCCTCTAAAGTATAGTTATAGTTGTCAGCATTTGGGTGGTTGCCTTAACAGTGTTGTATTGTCCTATTTGTTAAGGAGAGATGACTGAGGCATTTTTCTTCTTTGACCAGCTTATTGCTGAAGCATGGGACTGTGGAGGGCTTTATCAAGTTGGCATGTTTCCTCATTGGGGTATATGGTCAGAATGGAATGGGAAGGTAAGTAAAAGGTGTATATGATTAAGCTATTTATCTGTGGGCACTTCCGACTTGCCACCTTTTCTTCACTCTGTTCATTTTAGAAATTTTAAGACAGCTCCATCCTCAGAACTGGACTACTAGATGGTGGTCTTTAACAAATTTGTCTAATCGTCCATGCTTCTGTCCTTTCATGTAGTTTTATTCTCCATTCTAAGTACATTGTAACTGTAACAACATATGAACAGTACTGTTTCTGTTTCAGTACCGTGACATTGTGAGGCTATTTATTAAAGGCACAGATGGTTTTTCTGGGGCTTTTGCTGAATGTCTGTGTGGAAGCCCCAATTTATATCAGGCATGTCATATTTTCAGTTGTTTTTTTTTTTTTTTTATATATGATTCCTGAATTTTACCTGTTACAAAAGTTTTACATCATATTTTTGTTTTTATTTATCTGTTATCGTGAGTTCTATTTTTTTTATTTTGATTACTTGCTAATCTGAATTAGGTAGGTGGAAGGAAACCTTGGAACAGTATCAATTTCGTCTGTGCTCATGATGGTTTTACTTTGGCTGATTTAGTGACGTATAACAACAAGCACAATCTGGCTAATGGTGAAGATAACAAGGATGGTGAGAATCACAATAATAGTTGGAATTGCGGCCAGGTAAATCTTTCAGCTAACACATTAATCCTTTTTCTCTTGTACCTTGGACTTAAAAGTACTTGAGAACACACCTGTAAAATAATATGACTGCTCAAAGTATGACCACTAGGTTTTCGAGACTTTGTTTATGAAGCCTGTAAAACCACGTTTAACATGTCTCTCGTATGTCTCTGCAATGACTGTTTTCCTGAATCTTCCTGTTCCATGAGAGTGATATGATTGTAAGCTACAACTTACCTAGGGTATAGCCCTTGTCTTAGACAATATTAACATTTTTCTTTTGCTCGACACGTTTTCTCACCTTCCCAAGCATTTCCAGTGTAGAATATTTGGTTTAATTTAAATATTAGATGATATTCTTATTATTCAACCGGAAACTTTCCATTCTTACAGCTCTTGGTCTAAATTTGTCTCAGGAGGGAGAATTTGCAAGTCTTTCTGTGAAGAAATTGAGACTACGCCAAATGAGAAACTTTTACGTGTGTCTCATGGTTTCCCAAGTAAGATCGTTTTTGTTATTTTGTTTCCTTTAAAATACATAATTGAAGGTTACCTACTGCTTTTATTTATATATTTTTTAGTCTAGTTGTTACTCTCATTTCATGTGTTTACCTTTCAACAGGGCGTTCCAATGATCTATATGGGGGATGAATATGGTCACACAAAAGGGGGAAACAACAATACATACTGCCATGACAATTATGTAGTCCTCTCTCTCTCTCTCTCTCTCTCTCTCTCTCTCTCTCTCTCTCTCTCTCTCTCTCTCTCTCTCTCTCTCTCTCTCTCTCTCTCTCTCTCTCTCTCTCTCTCTCTCTCTCTCTCTCTCTCTCTCTCTCTCTCTCTCTCTCTCTCTCTCTCTCTCTCTCTCTCTCTCTCTCTCTCTCTCTCTCTCTCTCTCTCTCTCTCTCTCTCTCTCTCTCTCTCTCTCTCTCTCTCTCTCTCTCTCTCTCTCTCTCTCTCTCTCTCTCTCTCTCTCTCTCTCTCTCTCTCTCTCTCTCTCTCTCTCTCTCTCTCTCTCTCTCTCTCTCTCTCTCTCTCTNTATTTTAATACATTTTGGGCAGATTGACTCGGTGAAAGGGGAGTTGTATATAGCGTTCAACGCCAGTCATGTGGCTGTCACGGTTGCATTACCTGAACGGCTAGGCTACAGGTGGGAACCATTAGTTGATACGGGCAAACCAACACCATTCGATTTTCTCTCTAATGACCTTCCTGAGAGGGAGACTGCCATCAAACAATATGCTCATTTTCTTGATAACAATTTGTACCCTATGCTCAGCTATTCTTCCATTGTTCTTTTGCTTTCCCCAGACAACAATAATACATAGACAACTTCTCCCTGTATTGTTTTGTTCTTGCTTCATTGACAAAAAACATTTTGTATAATATAGCATTCATATTATAAGGCAATGAAGAGAGAGATTTATTATAAAGAAAACATGGATCTCTTATAGTTTTTAAGTGGATTGACAATCCCATTGGACTTGTCATATAATTGGCAGTACAAGATCTATAAATGTGTGACATCATTACTGGAAGTTTTATGTTTATAACACTACAAAAGTGATTATTTAATAATAGTAATAAAAAAAAAACTTGCATTGCCCTTAATTGTGGGGATTACGTTTGGTTTTCTTGATGCAATAATTAACAATTACCAAAATCATGAGTCTTGCCCCATTCTTTAGATTCAGATTCTCCANTAAAAAAAAAAAAAAAAATATATATATACTAATAGGCTTCTTATCAAACTAAGCATCATTATAATGTTCAAATGAACTGAAGACGAGTGCCCCCTTTTGTATAGAACAATCCGCCTCGCCCAATCGCAGAATGAACACTTACAAAAGTGTTCTTGAGATTATCTTTCACAATGAGATATTTTGTAGTTATATTATTATTAAATTGGCAAAATTGCATTTTTGGTCCCGCTGAATTTAACGTGTAGCAATTTTGGTCCTGTGGTTTGAACTTTTCGCAATTTGGTCCTGTGATTTAAAAATTTCGGGCAATTTCAGTCCTTCCGGCCTCGAAAATTTGACTTTCTCGCCGTGTCGAGCACGTGACCCTCACGTGCTAGATTTTCCGACCAAACAATCTGAGTTGGCATGCTTATGTACATGTGGAAAATGAAAAAAATCGAAAAAAAAAAAAAAGAAACACACGTGGATGGCCGACCGGGTATAAAACCAAACAACAAACATCAAAATGGACCAAATCGAACTTCTGAAAATCAGAAAACCCGTAACCCTATTTTCTTCCCCAAATCCCCAAATCTGCTCGAACCCTAGAACCCTAATCATGTCCGAGAGCTCCCAGCTTAACGATGAGTCCTACTGCAAGTGCTTACAGAGGTCAATCATAGTCACCTCTTGGACCAGCGAAAATCCTGGTCGTCGTTTTCGTTCGTGCTCTGAATACGAGGTAATGCCTAAATTATCTTCTTTTTTGTTCTTAATTTAGGATTTTTTGTACAGGTTGATAAATTGTATTCTTTTTTCTTGGGTAAAATCAGAATGGAGGTTGTGATTTTTTTTCTTGGGTTGATCCACCAATGTGCAGCCGATCGAAGCAAATAATTCCTGGACTCCTACGAAAATCAAATAACCTGCGTGCTCAAAATGAAGCATTGGAAGAGGCAATTTTCAAAATGGAGGATGAAAATAAAATGTTGGTTTTAGAGAACAAAAAATTGCAATTGAAGTTTCAAGAGCCAAGTTAGAAAATGAAGGATGAAAATAAAATGTTGGTTTTAGAGAATGAAAGGTTGCAGTTGAAGTTGCAAGAGGTAAGTTCGAAAATGAAGGATGAAAATAAAATGTTGGTTTTAGAGAACAAAAGGTTGCAGTTGAAGTTGCAAGAGGTAAGTTCGAAAATGAAGGATGAAAAAAAAATGTTGGTTTTAGAGAACAAAAGGTTGCAGTTGAAGTTGCAGAGGAACTCAAAGACTACATTTTGGTTTTGGTTACTTGTTGGAGTAGTATCTGTGTACTTGTACTTGTTTTCAAAGAAGCAGGTCAATGGTTCTGGTCAATTGAAAATGCTTGTTTAGAATGTTGGTTTGAATTCAAATGATATGCTTTGTTGGTTTGAACTTTGTTAATGTGTAATGTTTTGAACTGAAAGCATTGTAATGTGCACTTTGTTGGTTTAGATTGTGGTGTATCAGTGGTAGACTTTCTTGTGTTTAGATTGTAATGTGAACTTTGTTGCACTGGTTTGTAATGTAATTTCCATGAAGTTAAGTTAAGTTTTATGTTTTTCAGTTCCCTGTGATTTATGTTTTAAGTTTCTCAGTTCAGCTTTATTGAATTTAAGTTGTTTACATACATAGAAAACTGAATAATTTTTTGAGAACATGATACATGAACAAAAGGTAAAAAGTTTAACTTGCTATGAACATTGTAAGCAAAAAAAATAAACAATCAGTGATATCATTACAATCAACCAAAAGGTAACAAATGTTCACTAATGGAGCCAAAACAATGATCAACCAAAAGAACCAAAAGATGTACCATCATCTACAACCATCATCAGTCAAATACCACAAAAACCATGCAGTCATGAAACAAACATAGTTTGATCTACATAATGTTTTGATCAACTTACAAAAGTACAAAAGGCAACAAAGTTTTGATCAACACAAAATCAGCCTTCAAATTACAATCACAATCCTTGACTTTTTCCTTGAGACATTTGTAATTGCTGGTGAGGTGTAGGCCCAGCTCTGTTTGCACTCTTTGGAATCTGATACTCTTCACATTCTGGTCTTAGAGACTCCAAATCAACAGCTTCACCTTCATCTTCATTAGCTATCACTGGTGGCAGAAGTGTGGGATTCTAAACAGAAAAAGAAAAAGACACATGATCAATGTACTAATATACCTACTTAAAGGATTGAATGATCAACAAAATGAAATATGAAATACAGTATAAATAAATCTACTTATATACTTACAGTATTAGGTTTAAGACCATAAGCAGATCTCTTTTTAGCCTTTTCATAACTTTCAGCATTCTTCCTCTTTGTTTCAAGCTTCAATAAAGAAAGAAAAACATGGGAATGGCATTAACTTATTGACATACAAGATACAAAATAACAAAAGATTGATAAACTCACAATTGTTTCAAAAGCTCTTTGCAATGGACTTTTGTTTTGTTCTTGTGTTAGTTGACTTTGGGCTTCCAACTCTTGCTCCTTTCTCTTGTCACAGGATCTTGAATTATGCCCAGGTACACCACATTTCTTGCATGTGACAGTTGGTTTTTGTCTCTTCATCTTCATGGGTTGTTTCCCTTTTCTTTGTTTCTTTTTCTCCTCAGTGTCTCCAACATCTTTTCTTCTTCTGGTTGAAGGTCTGCCAGCCCCCCTCCCAAAGTTGGGTGGTAATGGGGGGATAAAAAGGGTCTGTCTCCATAGCAAGGGCCCATTTGTGCCTAAGATTGACCCTCTAAAAACCTTTCTATGACACTCAGTGGAGTAACACTCATGCACAAAATCAACAGGAAGCAATTTTTGTGCTAGAATAGCACTACAGGCATGTTTACATGGAATTCCTCCCAAATCCCATACCCTGCAGGTACAAGTCCTCTTCTCCAAATCCACATTGAACTGAGACCCATCATAACATTTAATTTGGTAGTGCTTATCATCACATTTGATTGGCATGCAGTCACAAACATGGGACAAATGTTTTTGAAGAATCAGATTCACATTAGGACAAATCTTTCCATTCCACTTAAGCTCTGCCTTATCTCTTTTTTTTTGCATCTTAATACAAATGTATTCCCTAATCCACTCTAGCATGGTAATGATAGGTTTTTCTCTTGCTTCAAGTATGTTGCTATTAAATGTTTCACAAACATTATTAAGCAACATATCACACTTTGATACCTCTGAAAAATGAGACCTGGACCAGTGTTGTGGTGGTTTATCAAGGAACCACTTGAAAGCATCTAAACTCATATCCCTAATCTCCAACATCCTGCCATTGAACTCCCCTACAGTTGTGGCTTGTGCTGCTCTTCAAACTGCATGCTTATAGGCCATTCCCCTAAAACCTGCCTGCATGAAGTTGTTATGAAGATGCCTGACACAAAATCTGTGACTAGCTCCAGGGAAAACAGTGTCAAAAGCTTTGATAAGACCTTTTTGCTTATCAGAAATGAATGTAAAATGCTCAGGACAACTGATTCCTAGATCCTTCTTTAGGATTATGAGAAACCATTCCCATGTTTGAAAGCATTCAATTCCAACAACAGCAAAAGCAATAGGGAAAAGGTTATTATTTGGGTCTACACCCACTGCAGTCAAAAGAATCCCTCTATGTGGACCCTTCAAATGGCATCCATCAACACCAACTATAGGCCTACATCCAGCTTTGAACCCCTCTTTCAGAGCATTAAAACAAATATAGAATTTGCTAAATCTCTCATCACCATTCTCTTTCTCAGTGGCAAGTATGACTGTTGATCCAGGATTTGAAGTCCTTAACTCTTCTGCATAATCCCACAATTGGGAAAATTGATCATCAGGATGTCCCTCAAGCTGTGCAAGAGCTCTTCTCTTAGCCCTATAGGCTTGATCCTTAGATATATTCACATTCAAGTTATGAATAACATCTAGTCTCCAACCTTTCACACTTCTTTTAGGATCAGTTTGAAAATTACTGATGAATTTCTCACTCAGCCATTTTGATTTGATATTTTTAACATTAAATGTTTCAAAGCAAGAGTGAGTAGGGTTGTATTCTCTGATCTGGAAACTAGCTTCACCCTTCATTTTTAACAAATTGATCTTCCAACTACAATCATTTTCTGCACACCTTACATAGACCCTTATCTTGTCATTTTTCTCTGTCCTAAGGTTTCTATTTGTCTTAATTGCATGTGACTGGATGGCCTTCCTAAATTCTTCTTTTGTGGCAAAAATCATCCCAATTTCAAAAACAGGATCAAAAACCTGAGAGGAATTAAACACAGGTGGATCCACATTTTCAGTGTCACTGCCCACCAAATCATCTAGATCAACAGGGACTTCAACAACATATTCATCACTCTCACTCATAGAATCTGTCTCATCTTCACCATTTGCCCCTATATCTACATTCTCAAACCACAATGCATCATCGCCATCACTGCTAGTCTCCCTCATGTCATAATCACTATCTAAGAAATCAGATTGATCAACAGTGTCATCTTCTTGACACTCATTATCAGGCTGATTATCTTCTTCAATCTCACTCTCATGTTGACTCTCTTTTTCTTGGACACCTACATTTGCATTCTCAATCTCATTTTCAGACTCAACCTCAAAACTCTCATCCTCACTATCAGAATCAGATTGCAACCTAAACCAACCACCCTCTATAGACAAAGGAGAAGGACTAAATGCATCAGAAGCCTCAACATACACAGCCAGATGCCTCATAAATTTGTGAGCCAAGGCCCATGTTCTAATGTCATCATCCCCATTCAACAACTTGAAACTTAACCCAATCAATACAAAATATCTTTTACTACCCACAATACCAAATTTTTCAGACATTTGCCTCAAAACCGACTCAGACATTGTTTTAGCATCAACAAAGTCAAAAACTATTTTATCTCCTCCAATATAATTAGCATAAGGCTCATGCACAAATGAACCACCACACCATAATTCTACAGTTATGAAATTACTACTCAATTCTATGGTGCCCAGACCCNATCCCAATAATCCTTTGCTCTAATCTTTGTGTTGTTGTCCATCACATCGAATTTGCTCCGAATTTGGATTAGAAATGCAAAACAATGAGAGATTGAGATGATTAGGGTTCTAGGGTTCGAGCAGATTTGGGGATTTGGGGAAGAAAATAGGGTTACGGGTTTTCTGATTTTCAGAAGTTCGATTTGGTCCATTTTGATGTTTGTTGTTTGGTTTTATACCCGGTCGGCCATCCACGTGTGTTCTTTTTTTTTTTTTTTTTTCGATTTTTTTCATTTTCCACATGTACATAAGCATGCCAACTCAGATTGTTTGGTCGGAAAATCTAGCACGTGAGGGTCACGTGCTCGACACGGCGAGAAAGTCAAATTTTCGAGGCCGGAAGGACTGAAATTGCCCGAAATTTTTAAATCACAGGACCAAATTGCGAAAAGTTCAAACCACAGGACCAAAATTGCTACACGTTAAATTCAGCAGGACCAAAAATGCAATTTTGCCTATTAAATTCGTCCATTTATATATATTCAGACTTTGTTCTTTTTCATGATTTTTGAAATGAATATGTAGTTTATTAGGGAGGACGAATTACTAGCATCATCTGCCCCTTCGCTATTCCACAATTCATCGATGATTTCAAAGAAGGTTGCGTTTATGGCTTTAAAAACTACCAAGTCGAAAGCAATATTGGAGTATGCAAATCGACGATTTACACTTGGAGGTTCATTATTCACGGCCAAACAAAGTTTTGCAAGTGGATGGCCGATTTTCCTATTTGTTGCTTCGATTTTAGGAACTTCACAGCTTTAATGAATGTTGTATATAAAAAAATGTTCAATAATATATGATTTTTATTTTAATTATATGTTTATTCTCATGATCATTACATTATTACACAATTTATATAGAAAATTGCCTTTGATTATAAGTGTATGTTAAAACGATTTGTGGTATTTGTTGGATGTTTACCTTGTTGTGAGATTTTATATTTTTTCATCTGTGATGCTTTTTCTCAAATTTCTTCTGAAACTTCAGAGGAGTTGCGTTGGTTTCTTCTTGGGTAGTTATCCATTCTGTAAAAATTAGATTAGTGACCGATGGGAATTGATCAGGTTCCACCATTTTGTTAATGAGATATCGAATGGTGGTTATCATCATTTAAAATTGTGGTATTTTTGTAAACTTTATTGCACTAATAGAAACTTATGGTACTTATGTTTTTTTTTTTTNNTTATGTTTTTTTTTTTTTCCTGGTAATATTGTTGTTTTATATCGGTAGTTGTAAATTTCTGCCATTTAAATAGGCATTTCAAAATTCTACGGACCAGTTACCCCATTGTTAATTGGTCTTTTTATATGTTTACAATACTTTTTGAAATTTTTACAAAAGTATACATTAAAAAAAATCATAAATAAATCATTTATAAACAATTCATAAAAATAAAATTAAAAACAGTAAAATATATAATTCAATGGAAAAAAATATATTATATATCACCATTTATAAATAGTGCAAATTATTATTATACTTATAATTAAAATTCTTTATATAAATAAAGAGAGATATATAGGTGAAAAAAGTAATTGACCAGGCCCGAGTAGGCCCAAGTTACGGACCTTGTCGGTATCCCTCGTCTTATTCCCCAATTTATTCGAAACCCTGTTCTTCAGATATTTTAGCCCTAGATAGCACGTTATATTATACCTCCTCTCCATTTTCCTCTCGCAAAAACATCAGAAGGTTTCAATTTTCCATCACTCAACAACCGAACGAATTCATCAGTTCTTGGAATTTTCAGGTTCGATTATTCTTTTTCATTTTTATTTTTTAATTTTGTTAATTCCTCTCGCTTTGTACATTCATACACTAAATTACGTTATAGAGTTTACGCAGTATGTTTTCGATTCTATGAGGTGATTGTGTGCATTTGTGTGTGTGTGTGTGTGTGTTTTGTGCTAGTTCGACTCGGCTTTCAATTTTGAATGGCAGTTTTGAATCAATTCATCTTTCAATTTGAGTTGTGCAGGTTTCGTTGTCTGTTCCAACTTCGAACGTTATCCCTTTCACCATGGCGACCAGTGAGTACCTCATGTATATAATTAGTTCGACTACTGTTTCATTCTCAATAATTGGTGTATGTAACTGGTGTTAAAATGTTTGGTCAGGATTGCAGTACGAGAATAATTGTGAGATTGGGGTTTTCTCCAAGCTCACCAATGCCTATTGCCTTGTTGCTATTGGGGGTTCTGAGAACTTTTACAGGTATCGGTTTTGTTGTAGCTTTTTTTGCCATGGTGTATTTTTATTCTTTTGTTTAAGACTTGATGTTTGGTGGCAGCACGTTCGAGGCTGAGTTGGCTCATGTAATTCCAGTGGTTAAAACTTCGATTTCTGGTACTAGAATCATTGGACGCCTCTGTGCCGGTGGGTGTTTCTGTATTTTATTTGTTTTGGTGTGAATTTCTTGGCTGATGAGCTTGCCCCTGTAAATCAATCCTCCATTGGCAGGAAACAAAAATGGGTTGCTTTTGCCCCACAACACTACTGATCAAGGTTAGAGCTAACCTTATATAGTATTTAGTACATGCATGTTGTGTATATCTCTTAGTACTGATAAATGCTTGTGGAGTTAGGTCTGGCAATTTTTTTTTTTTTTTTTACTTATCTCAATTTTGAGTTGTATATGTGATATGTCTTCAGTCTAATGTTTGCTAAATGCTTGTGTAACTCTGCTAATGCATGCTATTGGTCCCCATACACTAAGATGAGTGATTGTTTGTAGTTTAGATGGATATTAGATGCCATCAAGATTATGTGTTGTGGTTATAGATTATCAGTTAATTGTTGGGAGAATTATGATATTTTAAATGGAGAAAACAGTTCTTAGATTTTTGAGTTCTTTGACATATTTAACTGCAGCTATGTACGTTGCATGAGTTTTAGAGGTTCAGAACTGAAAAAAGTGACGTGTGCTATTTAGGTTAATGAATAAGATTGCTCTGATGAACTCATACCATCAACTTTGCTTTCTGATCTTATTGTTGATGTGTGACAGTGTGTCCAGAAATATTTGTAAGTTCAAATGGCTTTTAGTTATTATCGGCCAAGTTTTGCATAACCTTGAGTTAGTTGTTAAGCACTAGTATGCTTGTGCTTGTCATCAAAATTGTGAACCTTTTAGATTAGACTGGCTTTTCATGTGGAGTTGATATGATTTTCCAGAATGTAAATGTCTTTATTGTTTGTAGGTTTTTCATGTCTCACACTCTTAACTTGCCATAGCTTAGGCAGTTAAAACACATGCAGCTAATGAATTTAATTTTCTTTGCCGATCAGGTTTGTTTGAAATTTCTGTGAAACAAACTTTACTATGCTAACATTACAGTGATCTTTGCTCTGGGAAAAAGAATGCTATGCTTTATTTGCCTTTCCTATCATCTTAGGTTATTCACTGATCTTTGTTTTCTGCTACCATAGAGCTTCAACATCTGAGGAACAGCCTACCAGATTCAGTAGTTGTTCAGAGAATTGATGAGAGGCTATCTGCACTCGGGAACTGCATTGCATGCAATGATCATGTTGCTCTTACCCATCCTGATCTTGACAAGGTAAAGCATTCACAGATACACCTGAACTTTTTACCGTGTCTTGTATTATTATTTGTTCTGGTGAACTGTTTTTTGCCACTATGTAATTCTTTTTCTCTCTCATTGGATGATTTTTCTGCTTGTTTTAACCCATTGTTCAATTCTGTTATGTGTTTCTTCTCTATAGGAAAAGCGTCAATTTTGCACTCTATAGCTTTTGTATATTAAACTATAGAACTTACTACTGTTGATGTATATATCAATCAGGAAACTGAGGAGATGATTGCTGATGTTCTTGGGGTGGAAGTCTTCAGGCAGACTGTAGCTGGCAATATACTTGTTGGAAGTTACTGTGCCTTTTCCAACAGAGGTGGCTTGGTAAGGTTTTAATAATTCACACTTTCTTATTTTTTCTGTAACAGAAGTTATATAAGAAAAAAATCATGGACTTCATTTTTACCAACATGCCAAGAAACAAAAAGCACAAATTTGATGATTTGGTTAAAAACACAGGTTCATCCTCACACCTCTATAGAGGATCTAGACGAGCTCTCGACCCTCCTTCAGGTCCCATTGGTTGCTGGGACTGTGAACCGTGGCAGTGAGGTCATAGCCGCTGGACTTACGGTCAACGACTGGACGGCATTCTGTGGGTCTGACACCACTGCCACCGAGCTTTCTGTTATTGAGAGTGTTTTCAAGCTGAGAGAGGCGCAACCGAGTGCCATTGTCAATGAGATGAGGAATTCTCTCATTGATAGCTATATTTGAGCTTTTCTTGTGTGAAAGTGGAAAAAAGAAAAGTAAGGTTGCCCATGGAGGGGTGTTTCTGATGTGGTTATTGCAAACTTTTTAGGATTTGTGCTGGTGACTGAAAACTGTGGTCTTTTTATTTGTCTTAACATTTCTATAGGTATTATGTGGTGTTCAGTACATGATTGGAGACTTGGATTTGGGGTGTAATGTCTTTTTAACGTGTAATGAGTCCTTTTGGTACTATGAATCATTATGGGTTTATGAAGTGTAGTGAGTCCTTTTGGTACTATGAACCATTATCGGTTTATGAAGTGTCGTTCCTTTGTTTGCACATGAGCATGAATGCATGCTCTTATAAATAGTCTTATATTTCATTGTTAGGAGACGGTGATATTCATATCGTGGGCTGCCTTATGGTAGCACTTAAGAAGAGGCCTAGGAAATTCGGAGTATGAGTTTGTAGCAGGAGATGGTGACATTCGTATCATAAGAAGCCCAAGTTGTTTTAAATTAAATTTTTTGGTTCCAGATAATGCCAGTCCATATATCTGATTGGAACATGATTACTTTTATTTTTATTTTTATTTTTTAATTCGTGGATGATTTCTTTTTTATGGAATAAGTTGCATTGCGGGGGTAAGTCCCCGGTCCGGATGACTATACTTTTTCCTTCTTCTTGAATAGTTGGGCTATAGTTTGGGCTGGTAGTGTGGGGTATACAAGAATTTTTTTCGATCCCGCTCTCTTCTCAAGCAATGGAATCACACTGCTCTCACGCTTGTTCCTAAGTCTTCACACTCTTCGCTAGTGACAGATTTTAGACCAATAGCGTGTTGCAACACTTTGTACAAAATTTGTTCTAAGATCCTTGCTCGGAGAATTAGTGGAGTACTAGATTCTATTATTGACGAGACACAAACCGCTTTTGTTACAAGCCGCTTTTGTTAAGGGGAGGAACATCTCGGGCAACATCCACCTCATGCCACCGTTGCTTCGCCAATACATGCAGAAATGAGTAACCCCAAGGTGCACCATTAAAATTGACCACCGCAAATTGATTCAATTTCTTGGTCGTTCTTGAAGCAAGTGCCTGAGGGTCTTAGTTTCCCATCGGCATTTTCAAGGTGGGTCATGGAATGTGTCACAACTCTATCCTACTCAAAAAACATTTCAAAGGGGCACGTGGACTTAGGCAAGGTGATCTCCTCCCACCTTTCCTCTTTGTGATTTGCATTGAATATCTCTCTCGTTGTAACCAGAGGCCAACGAGGTGGTGTTTTTGGATTTCCTAATAAAATTTCTCTAAAAAACATAAATGAATAAATCACATCACAAGAAGACAAGACATAAAGTATTCAACACAGAAGCTCGAGCTAAAACCTAACAATTTTTTCCTCGGTCATAGGAGGACAAGGTCTTTGGAAAGACCAGAGTGAAAGAGTGGTTAGTTATTATCGACCAAAGTGTTGGAGAGGACAGAAATCTGATTCCAATTATCGATCAGAAGATTGTAAGCTCGGTTGCAAGGAGGGTTAGCGTATTTGATGGGGATGCTCTCACGCCAGATGGTCGAGTTGAAGGGAAATGGTGAGGGAGGTCGAACGAAGAAGAACTTGGTCCTCTATTTAGGTATATTGGATGGGATATCAATAAAACAATTTGCCTTATTACGGTTAGCAAGGTACATGGACTTCTTTTGGTCTTTGGCACAATAAGAGTAAAAGAAAATGTCGGGGTCGATATGACTTAGTCGACAGAAAGAAAGTATGGAGTATACAATTAGGTGTCAAATGTCGTTGGGAGAAAGTTGGTTGATGGGAAGCTCGAAAAGTTTGCAGAGGTTGATGAGGTAGGGGTTTAGGGAAAACCTGAGCCCAAGCTCCATCTGATCGCGGAAGAAGGTTTAACAACCGGGAGGAGGGTGCTCGTAGACATCAAAAGGGAGAGGAAAAACATATTCCCAATCATCGGGAAGACCCATTTGGTCAAAATTTGGTCAAGTTGGTCCTCACTCTTATATACCAAAGTGCTAGGTTCTCGAGCAGTGGCAATCCGGAAGATAGATCGAGGAGAAGAGTCGAGATTAATGGCTTCGTCAACCTCTTCGTCAGACTCGTTATCAGACGGAGGGGTTAAGAAATGGAAGGTGCGGTCCAAGAGGAAATGGAAGGTGCGGTCTAAGAGGAAGAAGGACAGGTAAACGGGTGGCAGGGCGTGATGAAATATGAAAAGGCTCAAGGATAAGCCCAAAAGAAGAAGAGGCCGCAAAGGAGCTCGGGGGGCTCATACCGTGGCCGATGGAGGCAGCGTCAGACTCGCTAGTGGCATGGAAGGCAGGTGAATCTGAAAAGGAAGAAGGTAGTAAATGAAAGTTTAGGTTTAAAAAGGAGAAATTAAGGAAGGAGTTCGGGGAACAGAAGGGAAAAGAAGAAGATTGAAAAAAGAATCGAACATGCAAATAGATAACAATGAAGGAAAAACTTACTCATCAACAACATGAAGGTTGCTGGTTGTTCTGAGAAAGTAACAGGGCACGGTGGTCGACGACGGTGTCTAGGCGACGAAAGCTTGAAACTTTGCAGAAAGGGGTACATGAAAAGTATATCGCAAGAAAGCTTGAGAGAGGTAGAAAAGTTGAAAAAATGGTCTAGAAGCTCTATTTATAACAAAGGAATGGGAAACACAAAGAGGTCAACGACCCTAGCCGTTGGATCAGGATCAAAATGGGTGGAGGAGATTAAAAGGAGAATGTGAAAAGGCAACGATCATGACCGCCATTGTTTGTCGCATATATTGTTTATTGCATAATTTGTTATGCACTTTATCAATTATTTTAGTATGTCTGTCGCGTAGTTTGTCGCATAATTTGTCTCGCACTTTATCAAATATCTTCATCTGTTATCGCATGAACATTTTGCACTTTATCAATTAATTTTTCCTGTTTTTCGCATGTTGTATTGCATAATGTTTCACACTTTATCGATTATCCTTGCATGTCTATCGCGTAGTTTATTGCATAATTTGTTTCGCACTTTATTAATCATTTTCGTATGTGTATCGCATAGTTAATCGTATAAATATTTCAGAATAGCATAATCACACTTTGTGGTGTGAAAAATTTACTTGTTGTTTGAACCTGTGAAAAACTTACCCCATTCTCGAAACAAGTTTGAAAAGTTATTTCCTCAATAATATATATACATTCATCTTCACCTTTGATGGCTAGGAATTACTTGTACCTAATATCGTCCCTTTGGACCACTCTTTTTGCTAAAAGCACAAAACAAATTGGCCCAAAAATTCCCACAAAAGCGCGTTCTCTCTCTCTCTCTCTCTCTCTCTCTCACACACACACACACACACACAACACAATTTCTCTTAATATCTCCCCTTTCCCATGGAGATTCTTTCTCCGGCAGAGGAAGACAACTGAAAAATGAAGAAAAAAGCCCCAAATCGGATCCCATCAACATCGTCCCGTTCATCTTCCTCTCCATCTCCACCTTCTTCGCCGCACTTCGACGCCGTCCCCGAGCCGACGGCGTACGCGGCGCTCCCCACCGATCTGGTCACCGACATTTTCCTCAGGCTCCCCGTCAAAACCCTAGGCAAGTGCAGATGCGTCTGCAAGCAATGGCTCCGCCTGATCGGGGACCCGCACTTTGTGTCCGCTTACCGAGACCACGCCCGCCGCAGCCCCAACATCCTGCTGGCCCGAAAAACCCCTCTCATCCACGAGCCCCTCGCCAAAAAACGCACCAGGATCGATCTCTGCGCCCTAAACCTCGACGGCTACCGCAAAAACCACGAATTCTCGCTGTTTGTGGACGACGATGAGAATAACGTCGAGATGCTGCCTTCAAAATGGGACCTCGTCTGCTTCGTGAGCGAGTCCGGGTTCTACGCCTGCAACCCTAGCACGCAGCTTGTGGTTAAACTGCCTGAGGCCAGCTGCTGCACCTCAGGTGAGGTAAATGCGGGAATGGGTTACATCAGGGAAAGAGATGAATACATCTTGGTGCACTTATTCGACCGGAGTGTGGAGCTTCACATGGATTACGACATCGGGTGTGAGGTACTGAGGCTGAGGGATGGGGGAAAAGATTGTTCGTGGAAGGTGATGAATGCAAATTGTCGGTTTGTGGTTCGCGGTTGGGGAGTTTTGGTGGAGAACGTTTTCTATTGGATGATTTGGGATGATTATGACCAACCGGGAGATGAGGCAATCGTGACCTTTGATCTTGAGAGGGAAGAATTCGGGACGCTAAGCCCTCCAGAGGGCTGTTTCGACCCCCATGGCTTGTGGTCGTTAGTGGAGTTGGGAGGAAGGTTGTGTTTGGTTGACACTGTTGCTCAGCCTTTAACTATGGATATATGGGTTTTGGAGGATATTCAGAATCAGAGGTGGGTAAGGGAGTATAGTATTAATATGAATGTGTATACTAATGACATGCTGAGCTTAATTGTGCCTTTGGATTACTGGGAAGGGAAAATTGTGTTGGATGTGAAGCAAGAGAGTGTGGACTGTTATGATGAGAAGAGGAAGTGCATTAAGAGGATGGACCATTTGATTGCAGGGGAGTGGAACTGGCTTCGACTCTACACCGAGAGGTTTTTTTCCTTGGGAGGCAAGTAGATGCTTGATGCTTGGTGCCTTTTTTTATTGGAGCACATTCATCTATAATATTTTTTTCTATAGTCATTAATTGATTATTGAGGCATTATTTGGCTTCCTGAGGTATGAGGATTTTAAAAAAGTAATGTTTGAGCTGCCTGCTAGACGCTGCGTGTGTTTTTCAAATGCTTGATGTTGTATGGCTTTCCTTGGATGATTGTTTTTCTGGTCTTTGGATAAGCCTTGTTTGTTTTTATGAGGTGTGTCTATGATGTTGAGAGGCAATTTGAATTTGAATTGGATTGATATAACTTTTAACTTTCTTTCAAATGAGTTTGTTTCAATTCTTGGCATTTTCTGTTTGAAGCTTATAGAACTGCTTGATATCTCATTTTCCTATGTTATCCTTTGGCCCATCCATGAGGTTCCTTGATCAACACTTGATTTAGCTTGTCAACCCCGCAACAATCTGTTAATCTTCTTGTTCATTTCATTATTCAGAGTAATACTTTTCATTTCAACTGGTCATTTTTCCACAGAACACTAATGTCGAAAAATCAAATGTTTGGACTGAATTTTTTTACTTTTCTGTTTCATTTTCCCATTCCCTTTTTTTTTTTGTCTATTCATAATTTTTTAATTTCCTTTACTCTTTTTGAATATTAAGTCAATCACAATATTTTCTTAATAAATTTCCTAAGTTATTGTTTGGTGGTGAGGGTTCATTGTTACCATAGGTAAAAGTTTCAGAAATTATCTCTAGAGTCTGGAATCAATGAGAAAGTAACAAGTTCATTGTTAATGTGGGTAAAAGTTTTCAGAAATTTTACCTGGAGTATGGAATCAATGAGAAAACAGTCACTATTCCTGTTATTGTGATGAGCGACATTCATCTAGAAATTTGGTGTTCTACGTTATGGTATATTTATAACATGGAACAGCTTGTCCTAGGTTGTCCATTATTTCAGAAAAAAACATCTTACACTCTCATACTGTGACTTATTTTTCTTTTTTCTCAATTGTCTGAAAACAAAGTATGGATATGTGGCAGAGCATCATGCTTGTAGGCCTTTATATATCTGGGTTTGATTCTGGATATCGAATAATGATTCCATATATAGCATTTCCAGTTGTCCAGTTGATATTTGACTGAATGTATCTTTCTTCTCGGTAGTTGTCTGTTTTTAAGAACAACATTTTCAATGATATCTAAACTAGTTTGATTTTGGTCTTAGCCTCTACTCTGGCATCAGACTTGGTTAATAGATGTTCATAAATTGGCTGAAGAACTATATAGAACTGTTTGACAGGACTATTGCAATTATCATTGTTTACATTATGGCTTTGTATTGATTGTGCAAATGTGGTGTAGTTAGTTTGTTTATTGTGTCAATTGTAGAAGAACCATGATATTTAGTGCTGGTAATGATGAAAAGAGAACTAAGTACATTGCTGTAGTGTTGATAATGATGCATTAGAGAGGATTTATTTTGCATTGACACCTAATGTCAATTCAGAATGTGCAAGTGAAATGAATTATCTGATACTTTATAGAAACAGAAAAAAAGATTTTTAAGGTCAACATTTGAACATTGAAATAAAAATTCACAACAAACATCCCAGTTATTACTAAACACGTTCATAAAGAATAAAACAAAGTAAAATTTTACATATTGGTTTAAAACTTGGAAGTGCTTCGAAATTCTGTATCATGCAACGGAGCATTCGAATGGGAACCCTTGCGGAAAGCGCTTGTAATCCGTGCAATAGTTGTAAATCATGTAGTTCTTTTGCACCCATTTTATTGTCCCCTGTCCACTTGAATCCAGTGACTGTGAAAACCAAGAATCAGCCGACGAATTTTGGGAGCAAGAACCTGTGGCATTTGCACAGGCCAATGCACTGAAGTGTGTGAACGAGGCCGTGAAAGGGGCTTGGCTCCAATCAGTCTTCACGAGCCCACCTCTTGTGGCCCAATCGTCCGCATTCCAAAGGCTCGAGTATATCCACATGGGCTGGTTCTTAGGGTAAGGTACACCTTTGGACTCAAGGTTCTTGAATTGTCTAATGGGAATACCGTCTACTGAGAATCTGTTGACAGTGTCAAAAATTATTTTTAGTATCACTCATTATAAGGTTTTAAGTCAAATTGTTAGAAATTGTACTGAATATCAATCACCACCAAGTTTAAGATATATGTGTTTAATTGAGATTTTAAATGACATTTTGATACTTTTTAAGATTTGGGACATTTTAGGATTTTTAGATTTTGGAAGAATTATATGAAATCTTAAGTCTGGAGGTAGGATTTCAAGTGAGATTTCGTATAAGGGTTTTTGTTTAGAAATCCCACCAAATCTTAAAAAGTCTTAATAAATCTTAGTGTCAAATAAATTAAATACCACAGAATTTCGTAAGACTTTTTAAAATCCTAATTGAATATCGCAGGATTTTTAAAAGTCTTAATAAATCTAAATTGAATATACCAGAATTTCCTAAGTCTCTAAACCCTTAGAAAACCTAATTGAATACACCCCTAAGTCAAATTGTTAGAGATTCTTAGGCTTAAATTCATGGGTAAAGTCTTTGCAATTTACACTTAAACTACTTACATGATGGTTTGAGGGTTCCATAGGATGGAATAGGTGTGGAAATCCTTTGTAGGATCAAACCACAAATGAAACTGTTGTTCTCGGCCGCCATTGCCTTGCGTGAATACATTCGTGTGGAGAATGTACGGTTGCCCGCTTAGATTCCCAAGAAATTCAAAGTCGATCTCGTCGTGGGTCGACCCTAAGGAAGATAACTGAACCCGAAAGAGTAAAGAAAATATTAGTTATCTGTAAATAATATAAATAACCACATTTTAATTTGTAGGAGAATAACTTACATAATAGGTAGTGACGGTGCCTGCAGAATTACCAGGGATGAGCTTTATCTGAAAGTCGATTTTCCCAAACATATATTGCCTTTTGGACCTAAAACCAGAACCGGAGTCTCGGTCTAAAGACAATGTGAGAAGCTTACCGTTGTCTAATATTTTCGCACGTGCATCTCCCCATGTGATGTCGAAATCCTCGTAAAAATTTCCTCCAAAAGCAGAGGTAACAAAGCTTAATAGAGCAAACAACACAATGTGTATCTTCATCATAGCTGAATTGATGTTTTTGTGGTGTGCATGAATGTGGCTTCAAAGGGCTCTATATATATATATAAGCGCTGGGGAAAAAGACGTGTGAAGGGAATAAGAGGGGAAGATGACATTGGTGTGGACTTTCAGGGACCATATGACAACTATGATGCCTCTCTTGAATTTGGTTGAGCAAAATGTG